GACGACGGCGTGTGGGCCCACCTGCTGCCCGTGCTGCGCAGCCCCGACTCCTGGGGAGGCCTGCTGCTGGCTCACTACCTAGGGGTGGACCACTGCGGCCACAGCCACGGCGTGAGCAGCCGGGAGATGGCGCAGAAGCTGAGGTGGGGTGGGTGGGTGGGGCCGGCGGGGCGGGGCGGAGTGTGGAGGTGGAGGGAGGGGCAGCGGGGGCCTGGGCCAGGGCGGGGACCTGGCAGGAGAGATGGGGAGGGGCCCTGACACACGCGGCAGGCGAGCCTGCGCTCTGCTCGCGCCCTGGGTGCAGGCAGATGGACGAGCATGTGCGGCAGGTGGTGGAGGCACTGGTTGAGGGGGCGGGCCCTGGGGGCGCCTACCGGAACACGCTGTTGCTGGTGTCTGGAGACCACGGGCAGACGCTGGGCGGCGACCACGGCGGCGGCAGCCCCGAGGAGGTGGATTCAGCGCTGGTGGCGGTGGACGTGGACGCGCTGCGCGCGCTGCGCTCCGCCGACGGCGGCGGCGCCAAGCCGCCTGCGCCGCCGACGGCCGCGCGGCTGCGCGGGCTGGCCGCCCCCGCTGCCTGCCGCGCCAGCTGCTCCTGCGGCGTGGAGCGCAACCAGTGCGCCCCCGACCTGCCGCAGACAGATCTGACCCCCACCCTGGCCGCCATGCTGGGCGTGCCCATCCCCTTTGGCAACCTGGGCAAGCTGAGCCGGGAGCTGTGGCAGCTGGCCGCCGCCCGCGTGCGCGGCACCAGCGGCGGCGGCGACAGCGAACCCTCCTCCCCCGCCGCCGCGGAGGCAGCCTGGGAGCGGAGCCTGGTGGATGGGCTGGAGGCGAATGCGGCGCAGGTGCACGCCTACCTCAACACCTATGCCGCCACCCCCGGCACCTCCTTCTCCCGCTCCGCCCTGGCCGCGCTCAACAGGCAGTACGCTGAGCTGGCGGCGGCGGCGGCAGACCCGGCGGCCCAGCCTGCGGCCCTGGCGGACAGGCGAGTGGCGGCACAGCTACTGCTGCTGCCACCGTCGCCGCCCCGTGCTTTGGCACGTGGCAGGCGGCTGGGTGGGCTGCCTGGGCTGGGCTCACTGCGTGTGCCGCCACACACCTGAGTGGCTGAATCAGCGCCGCTGCCGTCCCGCCTGCCGGCTGCGCCCTTGGGCTGCAGGTGTTATGCGTACCTGCGGGCGGCGGCGGGCGTGGCGCGGGAGCAGTGGACGCAGTTCCGCGACGTTCCCATGGCGGCGGGGCTGGCCCTGTTTGCCGCCACGCTGGCGCTGCAGGCCGCAGCCGCGTTTGGCGGCGGCGCCGGCCCCGCCTGGCGCCGCCTGCGGGCGTGGGAGCTGGCGGGGCGGTGGCGGGCGGGGCGCGGGCTGGTGGTGCCCACCTTCCGCGGCTGGCTGGCGGGCGTGGTGCTGGCGCACTGCCTGGGCCTCTTCTCCTTCTTCTACCTTCTCAGCGAAGGTGTGTGTGTGTGTGTGTGTGGTGGGGACAGGAGGAGCAACGTGTCGCTGCTGGCGCCGCCGCTGCTGCTGTCTCGAGCCGCTTCGGCCAGCAGCAGCTGCTGCCGGAGCGACGCGGCTGTCCTCCCCTTCCTGCCCAACCCCACCTGCCCGCAGGCTCCGCTGTGTGCTACCTTGTTGCTGCGGCCTGCGGGGCGCTGGCGCTGTCCACCGCGCGTGCGGCACGTGCGGCGGGCGAGCGCATGCGTGGCGTGCTGGGCCTGGGTGCCATGTCCCTGCGCTTCAATGCCGTCATGGCTGTGCTGGGCCTGGCGCACCACACGGGGCAGGTGGGCGGGTTGGGGTGTGTTGCGGTGGCGTGGAAGGGGCTGGGGCGGCGGCGCTGAGGAGGCTACGCTGGAGCAGGCCTGCCCTGCAGTTGCTGGATGGTGCGTAGGGTCAGGATGCCACGTGGCTGACCCTCATCCCCCCCACACACACATACGCGCCAACGCATGGGCCCATGGCCCTGGGCTGCTCGCAGGGCTTCTGGGCGCGGCTGACGGTGCACGACCCGCAGCCAGACGACGATGTGGAGCGGGGCCTGCAGGGCAAGCTGGCCCAGGCGCAGGCTGTCGGCGCACAGCTCATGGCCCGCACCCGCCTTGACCAGCTGCCGGCGGGGGTGCTGGCGGTGGCGCGGCACAGCCTGCTGTGCACGCTGCCGGTGGCGGCGCTGGCGCTGGCCACAGACCGGCTGCAGCGGGGCGGTGGAGCCGCCAGGGGCGGCCCGCAGCGGTGAGTCGGTCCCTGCCTGTCGGTCTTGCCAGCAGACGAATGCCACAGGCGCCGGCGTGCAGCCCAGCCAGGAAACTTGCTGCTGTCCCTGCCTGCCCACCCTGCTCGCCCTTGGGCCCCCTTCGTCCCGCTGCCCGCATGTGCAGGCTGCTCCAGCTGGCAGCGTTCGCCAGTGTGGCGGCCTATCTGCAGGTGGAGGAGGCGGGCAGGAGCGGCCTGCTGCCTCCAGACATCAGCCTGAGTGGACTGGTGGCACACCACCTCTGGCCCCTGCTGCCCGCCGGCATGGCCAGTCGCGTCCAGCTGGCAGCACGGGCGGTGGCGGCGCCAGCGGCCGCGGCGGGCCCGGCAGCCATCCAGCTGTGCGGCACGCTAGCGGGCCTCCCGCTGCGGGAGCTGCTGCCGCATGCCACGTATGCGCTGTGCGGCGGCCTGGCAGTCATCTGGCTGCTGCAGGCCGCCACGGGGCTGCTGCGGGGCGCGGCAGCGGCCAGAGCGGCGGCGCAGCTGGTGCTGGCGCTGCTGCTGCAGGTGTCGGACCGGCAGGCGCCGCTCATCCTGCTGCTGGGATTGCTGATGCTTGTGGCGATCGCCAAGCTGATGGCCAGGAGGGCGGCGCTGGCGCCGGGTGGCGTGACGGCGGCGGGCGTGGCGGGCGAGGCGGCGGCGCTGGCGGCGCTGGTGGCGGCACAGATGTTCTACGTGACGGGGCACCTGTGCGAGTTTGCGGGGCTGCAGTACACAGCAGGTGCGCCGCTGGGTGCTGCTCCGCCGGTCGGCCTCTTCACCTCGGTTGCTCACCTGTGTACACCGCCACGCCTGCAGGCTTTGTCGGGTCTGGAGAGTTCCTCCTGTGGCGCTCCGGCTCCCTCATAGCGCTCAACACGTTTGGGTCCATGCTGCTGGTCCTGCTGGCGCTGCCCGCCATCTCCCAGCACATCCAAGCGGCAGCGCCCGCGGCAGCAGTGCCGGAGGTAATGGCAGCAGCAGAGGACGGGGAGGATGAGGGCGAGGATGGTGCAGGGCTTGGGGAGGCGGCAAAGCAGGCCGCTGCGAAGGCAAAGCAAGCAGCGGAAGCAAAGCCAGAGGCAGCAGCCGCAGCAGGGCTGAAGGAGCCAGCTGGTGCAGAGGCTGGGGCGAGTTTGGGGCGGCCGCTGCTGGTGGCAGGGCTGGTGCGGTCGGCCGCAGCCTTCTGCGCCACCCTGAGTGCCGGGTTGCAGCGCCGGCACCTGTATGCCTGGGCTCTCTTTGCCCCCAAGTTTGCCTTT